CATTGGACCTAAGCCCTGAACCCTAAACCCTAAGAACAGATAAACCCCCAATCTCGCCCCGCCACCCACCGCCTTGAGCGCCTGATCGAACAGCAGCGGCGCCGCCGCCGGCGCCGGCGCCGGCCCCGCGCCGCCCCGCAGCTGGTCGTGGCCGAACTCGACCGCGAGTCCCAGCAGGCGGAAGCGCGCCCCCAGGGCCGCGGGGTGGCGCGACAGCGCCCGGGGGTCTGCCAGGGACGCGTGGAGCAGGCGGCCGTAGTGCTGGCGGGCGGCTGCCCCGCAGCTGCCGCCCCTGGTGCCCAGCGGACAGGTCCGACGGGGCGGGGTGGGGTGGTGTCGGGCGGATTGGTTTGGCAGCTAGAGGGATGCAAAAAAGGGGAGATGGTAGGCAGGGCTGTGGAAGCTTCTGCACGGGCTCCTGCTTTTTCAATTGTGTGGATTTGGATGAGCGATGCATGACCGGTGCGATGTACATATGTTGGATGCGTGCGCACTGTGGCATAATGTCAGTGTGTAAGGAAAAGGAGGGAGCGACCTTGCTGCCAGCACCAACAAGCCACATCTGAGGTGGAGGGCTGCCACTGCTGCGGCGCAAAATCAAAGTTGCAGATAGTTTCAGTACAAACCCAGGCTTTCGGCTGTCCTGCTCAGACTGTCCGTCTTCCGTGCCAACGGGGCTCGCGGCAGGGGGAACGGGGAGTGTGCGTCCTTGTCTTGAGGCGCAGCTGCGCCCTCGGGGCCGCGTAAAACGAGCCCGCCAGAGCACGCGTTGTTGCGGGGCTGTGTTTTTTTGCAAGTGCGAGAGGGGCGCCTCACCTGAGGCGCAGGACGGCCCACAGCTCTGACAGATAGGCCAGCCACGCGTCGTGGGCGGAGATGGCCTGAGGTGTTTTGTGTGCGGTGATCAGGGTATGGGGTTTGGGGTGTTGTGTTTGGGGCGTGGCGTCTGAGGTGAGGGGTTTGGGGTTGGAGGGTGCGGGGTGTTGTGTATGGGATGCGGGCCGGGGTGTTGGGGGTTTGGGTGTAGGCCGTGTGAGGTTTTGAGCGGGGGGTTCTTGAGGCGAGGAGCTTGAGCTTCAGAAGGGTGATTGGAGGGCAGGGCGTGGGGTGGGTAGGCTCGCGTGAAAGAGAGACGTGCGCGAGATGGCGGAGACAGCCAGGCCGCATGGCATGGCATGGCGGGCGCAGCTCGACCGCGAGCGCGGCCTGGGGCCGCGCAGCAACGCGATCAGATCGGACCGTTGAGATCTGATCAGATCACCAGATCTCACCTCGAGCACCTCCGGGTCGTTGTCGTCCTCCTCGTCCTCTCCCACCACTTGAGGGCGCACGTCCCCGGGCGCCGCCCCGTCGACGCCGGGCTCGGGCTCGGGACCGAGCCCGGCCCCCCCAGCAAGAGGAGCGGCCGCCGCAGCAGCCGCCCCGGCGGCGGCGGCGCCCGCACCGGCGCCGGCGCTGGCGCTGGCGCCGGGTCCATCGCGGCGGGGGTGGGGGCCGCCGGAGAACAGCCCGAGGCGTTGGTCTGCGGTCCAGACCCATGCGGCTGCCAGGTCAGACACGAGGGGCACGACCAGCCCCGGGCTCTCGGTGGATATCTTGAGATATTTGTATCATGATGGGTACGCGGGTTGGGGTCGTTGAGAATAAGACGGGTAAAGGGGGTTTGGGTTATTGAGTTGTGTGGGTGGAGGGAGTCGAGTTCGTGATGAGATATCCAGTAAGGGGGCATCGTTTTGCTTACAAAGGGTCGGTAGTTGTTGGGTAATGTTGGGGAGGGGGGGTTGGGTTTATGTGTCAGGATTACGGGGTGAGGGGTGGGACCGCTGTGTGATGTGGGGGGAGGTGTTGGGGTTCTAGGGTTTAGGGTCAACCCCGTGCGCCAGGCCGTGCGGCGGGTCCGCACCCCAGGTGCATGGGCTCGTCGCGCGCATGACCCAACGGGCGCACCCGTTTGGCACGAGGAGTCCGTCCCACGCCCTTCCCCCTGCAGGCGCGACTTCGAAAACCGGGCCGCAAACACAACCAACCCTGCAGCGTCCCCAGCTGGTCTGCCTGGCCTTGAAGAAACCCTTCAAAGAACCACAAAAAATGGAAATGAAAACCGCCCGGCCGCCCACCCATGTCCAGGAGAATGCCGCCAGCCGCGCCGCCCCCGGCTCGAGCCGCCGCAGCGGCGCCGCGCACAGCGCCCGCAGCAGCCGCAGCCCCTCAGGCGGCGGCCCCGCGCCGCCGCCGCCGCCGCCGTCGTAAGAACCCCCGGGGACGCCCGCGCCTGCGCCTGAGGGGTCGGCCGGCCGCCCGCCGGCCAGCTCCGGCTGCGAAGCCAGCAGGGCGGCGGCGCACAGCAGGGCGTCGTCTTGAGAGGCCGCGTGCAGCGCCGGCGGGGCCGCCGCGGCGGCGGCGCCGCCGCCGGCGGTCGAGCGGGCGGAGTCCTGCGCCAAGGCTGCATGGAGCTGGGCGGCGACCTGCAAGAATCCGCGGTTTCGAGGCGATTGGCGCTTTGGGCAATTCGGATGAATCGCGATTATTTACTTGACAGTCGGCGTGGGGCTCGCGTAAGCAAGGTGAGGGGATGAAGGGTGCTGCCCTGCAGCTAGGCGGCGAGCGAGGGGCGGCGGCGGCCGGCTGGCCTTGGCACGCGAGCGCCCCGGCTGCCCTGCCGCAGCAGAAGGGCTCCCCAGTGTGCTGCTGCCCCCCCACCCCCCTCTCTCTCTCTCTCTCTCTCTCTCTCTCTCTCTCTCTCTCTCTCATGCGCACGCTCTCTCGCTATCTGCCTGCCCTTTTCGCGCCCTCTGTCCCCCTGTTTTGCACGCACCTCTTGCAAAAATGCAAACACACACCACCTCAACCTCTGCCCCCTCCAACACTCACCCGCGCCACGCACGCACGCACACACACACACACACGCACAAACACTCTCCAAAACCCACCTCCCGCACCGCCGTCGCCTGCCGCTCCGACGGCTCCTCCCATTCGTCGGCGCCGCCGCCCGCCCCCCGCGCCGCCAGCGCTTGGCTGACGAGACCACGAACAAACCCCGAGTAGTGAAGCTTCCGCGCAAGCGCCAGCGTGCCCTCGGACGACCCCCCACCGACGCCGACGCCCGTGCCCCCGGCGCCCGCCGCGCCCGCGGCCCGCGCGGCGCCGCAGATGGTCAGGAGGTCCGCCGCGCGCCTCAGCGCCGCCTGGCCGGCCGCGGCCTCCCTCGCCACGCCCGTGTTAGCGGCGCCGGCGTCGCCGCCCGCGTTCAGCGCGGGCAGCAGGGTCGCCCGGCCCTTGCCGGCAGCCCCAAGGCCGCCGGGCGGCGAGGCCGTCGCCGGGACCAGGCCGCCGCCGCCTAGGAAGGAGTGCACCAGCGCCTCCGCCGCCGCAGGCGCTATGTCCGCCGCCGCCCGCACGACGGCGCGCGTCCTCGCCCACACAGCGCCCCTGCCCGGCGCCGCGGGCGCGCGCAGCGACGCGTCCCCCTCCTCCCTCTGCAGCTGCGCCAGCAGCGCGCGCAGCAGCGCGCGGCCGTGCAGCAGCCCCGGGAAGCTGCCGAGCAGCCGCCCGAGCAGCTCGTCCGCGAGCGGACCCAGCTCCTGCGGCGCCGCGGCGCCCCTCTTTCTATCCCTCCCGCCGCCGGCCGCCCCGGCGGCCGCCGCGGGCCCCTCCCCCAGATGCGCCACCAGCGCCACAGCCAGCTGCTCCGCATACTCAAGCGCGCCCGCCGCGCCGCCCCACCCCTCCCCACCCGCCGCAGCAGCCGCACGCCCCGCAGCCCCGGAGCCGCCCCAGGCAGCGGCGGGCGCGTCCTGCAGCGACCGCAGGGCCTCTAGGCGTCGCAAATGTAATGAGAAGGCGCGCCGGGCGATGGCGGCGACCCATTCTGAGGCGGCGCCGTCTGGGAGCACTCCTTTGAGGTACCCGAGGGTGACGGCCACAGGGCAGGCCACGATGGGGTCGGCGGCTGGCGGTCGGTTGATTCGGTTGGTTTGGGTGTTTGGGGCGTTGTGGTTGGGTTTGGGGGCTTTGTTTGCGGGCTTTCGGGGCGGAGTGGTGACGGGGGAAAGCGCGGTGGGGCGGTGTGCCTGTGTTTGTGCTTGTAGCTGTGTTACTTGAAGTTAGCGAGTGTGCATACACACACCCTGCACAAGCTTTACTCGCGCATGTATGCACACACATCAACACACACGCACGCCGCCAAGAAAGCACACACACAAGCGCCCGCCACAACCACGAAGCCGGCTCACCCAAATCTGGCAGCGGCGCCAGCGCCGACCGGCAGAGCTCCGACATGGCCACAGCCAACAAGAATCCCTGCAGCACGGTTTCCCCTGGCATGGGGGGCGCGCCGCCGCCCACCAGCCTGGATGTTGGGGGGGGGGGAGATGAACGAGAGGGTTCGAGGGGTGTGGGGTGTGGGGGGGTGTCATCAGGCAGGGTGCAAGGGGTGTGAACGGAACGGCATGTGGGCGGTGGGGGGTGCAGTGGGCATCAAGGGTGGAGATGGTGTGTTGCATGGCAGAGATGCATGGTCAGCAACCAAAAATGCCGTTTGTTGAATGAAAGGGGGCCGACCCGCACGCATGAGGTGGCCAAGCCCCAAAGCAGGGGAGGACGGCCGGCGCCCCAGGCGCGACGGCACGTCGGGGTTCAAGGTCGGGGCTCTAAGTCAGGGTGTTCCAGGGTTTTCCAGGGCCCTCGCGGCTCCGCCTCGGACCCGCTGCTGACGCTCCGCCGAATCTTGTGGCATAACATCGGGGGAAAAAGGAGGCGGCAAAGAAAAAAACAGGCACGCTGAACGGGGCGGGGGCTCACGCTGTGAGGCGGCTGGCGATGGCGCCGCGCTCCGCCAGGCGGCCCGCCGCGGCCAGCTGCTCCCCGAGCTCCACCTGTCGGGCGGATTCAGGGTTTAGGGTTTTAGGCATTAGGAGGTGAGGGTCATGCCTCGGGCCCGGAGGAGAAGGAGGCGTGGCGAGAGGGGGCAACAAGGTTGGGTTGCATGTTATGCGGTGCAAGAGAGGGAGGGAGGCAGGGATGAGGTGAGGCGGGCGACGCAGGGCTGGATGAGGCCGTGCCAGGCACAAGGGGCTGGCTCTGCCTTCTCATTCAATCATTGAGAGGGGCGACATACATGCACCCACAACCTGGCACCCGTGCTCGATTGGGATGTTCAGATCACCCAGATCATTCAGATCACCTTCAGCCTCTCGACCATGTCCGCCTCGAGGTACGAGTCCGTCCCCACCACCAGCAGCGGCGTCACGCCCGCCACGCGCCCGGCCGCCTCGGACCACCCCTCATCCCAACCCCCGGCCGCGCCGCCGCCGTTGGCGCCCGCCGTGCCCGCGGCAGCGGCGGCGGTGATTGGGTCGACCGGCTGGGCCGGGTCGACTAAGAAGTGTAGGGCTGCATGCAGCCAGAGATTGCGGAAGAGGCGCGTGGTGGAGGCGTCCTCGCGCTGGGCAGCCTGGGGAGGGCGGGGGTTGGTGCGGTGCAGATTTAGTGATGGCGGTGATGGGGGGGTGATGACAGTGGTTGTGGGAGAAGGGGCTAAGGTGGGGAGTGGTGG